GGAGCCGCTGTCCACATGTGGTTATTTCAATTTCAATTTAATTAGAGTTAAATTAAGGTTTAAAAAATTCAGTTCCTCATTCACACTGGCCACATTTCAAGTGTTCAGTAGCCACATGTGGCTATCACAGCACAGATATAGCACATTTCCATCATCGGAGGAAGTTCTGTTAAACACATCTGCTCCAGATAATTCTTGACTGCTGAGTCTCTTCCCAGCTGCGGTTCCAGACATCGTGGAGCAGACACGAGCCATGCATCCCCCGTGCCCTGACTGATTTCCTGACCAAGAGCATAATAAAATGGGCATTTTCATGCCATAATAAACAGGAGTTTTGGATAGTTTGTTATGCAGCCAGTAGTAACTGGAACAAACTCCTTTGATAAGAAAAGCAAAGTGCTCTCAGAAACTATCCCAGCTGACTTCTGTTTATATCTTATTTGGCAGAAGAGTGTCACCATGCCACCCCTACTGCCATGAAGCCTGGGAAAACACACATTGGGCTCTTATAGCCGCTTTAGTCAGGAAGAAAGGGGATGAGAACGGGGCATGGGAAACGAGTGAGTTGGCGACAGTATCTGCCACAACTGGTGAGATATATATATATATATATATATATATATATATATAAAACTACATTCTATTTTAGTAAGCAGAGCTGCATAATAACATATGCAGCCCATGCTTTAAATGTATTTAAAGTACTCTAATAACATTTGCTCACAGAGAACTTTAAATAAATGTTCTTTGTACTCAGAATGTCATGAACACTGTATCACTCCTAGAATCTGCATGATAATCTCTTGCTGAAATCAATATCCTCATCCTTAGTGAATGGAGAGAAATTTCAAGATTTAATTAGGATTTTTGTTCATCAGGATGATAGGGAGAAAGCAAGTTATAAGGAGACATTCTCTTACCAGACCAAGTTGCTTTGGTGGAATTGCCTGCTCCAAAGATAAACGGGCTTGCTCAACATTACCTAGTTATCTTTTAATTACAAATATCTGTGTGCCAGGCTCTTCTGGAGAATGTATGGCCCTCTTTTACAAACCCATATGAAAAGCCACAGGAAACCACACTGAGGTCTCCTCCGATGTCATGTATTGCCTTCCTTTGAGAAAGGTTTATGAAAGGACTGGTTTACTTGTTTTTTTAATAATTCCATGGTTAGTTTATCATTTTAAAAATTAGTATACTATGGTTTTAGTTGCATGACTGTCTATAAAGAAATGAATAACAATAATGGTAAGAACAATATTATATTTGTATGTTGCCTTCTTTTCAAATAAAGGTCAACAGTGGATTCCCTAGAAGCGAAATGAGCCTTAGTAATACACACTATGTGATAGCCATTCTCCTGCAATCCTGCCTCAATTTGCAAGGAAACATAATAAGAATTAGAAAGTTTAGGACACATCTCTCTCGGAGATCAAGGTGGTATGTGTATGTGTGTGTGGATGAGGGAATAATTCAGGGCACTTTTAAGAACTGTATTTTATAATGATATTGGAAGTTGTTGTTGTTGTTGTTTTTAATCAATTATTACCTTTACTGTAAGACCCAGCTAGGAATTGTGTGGAAGGTAAGATGTGAAAGGCAAAGGCTATGGTTTCTAGTGAGTGTCATTTGCTCAGAGAGAGGTATACCTCTTGATTGTGATACCGCCTGGAGCCTAATATCAAATTCTTCATTTTTTCCCCTCCATAAATCGAAATAATCATTTAGCAGTCTACTCCCTTGCACAATTCCAAATTCAATGTTAAATGTAATCAGCTCTACGAGGGGTTTTTTAAAGTGTTAAAATTGGATAAATGCCATTTTATACCTTGTGACTGGCAATGTTCAAAGATATAAATTGGCTTTCCCTTCTATTGGCAATCCATATTTGAAAAAGAACTGCGTTATTTATGTTAGGGACATTGAGTTTTTAAATGTGACATTTTTTAATTGGAAGAGATGTTAGAGATTATCTAATCCAACCCTTTCTGTAGGTGAGAAAACTAAAAGTTGATAAAAACTGGGGTGAGGCCGGGCGGGGTGGCTCACGCCTGTAATCCTAGCTCTCTGGGAAGCCAAGGTAGGCGGATTGCTCAAGGTCAGGAGTTCGAAACCAGCCTGAGCAAGAGCGAGACCCCGTCTCTACTATAAATAGAAAGAAATTAATTGGCCAACTAATATATATAGAAAAAATTAGCCGGGCATGGTGGCGCATGCCTGTAGTCCCAGCTACTCGGGAGGCTGAGGCAGGAGGATTGCTTGAGCCCAGGAGTTTGAGGTTGCTGTGAGCTAGGCTGACGCCATGGCACTCACTCTAGCCTGGGCAACAAGTGAGACTCTGTCTCAAAAAAAAAAAAAAAAAAAAACTGGGGTGAAACTCAGATCTTCCAATACCTACCCTTCAGTGCCTTTTCCAGCATGTGATAGGGCCTCACTGTACATCTGTGTGCAAGTGTGTGTATGTGTGTGTGTGTGTGTGTTATTTGATTTGAAACCCTTTCAAACCCCTGGGCTGAGCACCAATAACTCATAAATTTTTGACATCTAAATTTCTGTATTAAAATGTTTTTTTACTGCTATTGATATTTAATCAGCAACTATCAGATGACTGCTCTCATATTTTAAACAAACGTTATGGATTGGGGACATTCAGAAAATAGAATTTGTACCTTCCTTTCAGAGAATTCATGAAGAGTATAGATAGGCTTGACAAAATTACGATTCATCTATCTTTAGTTAGACATTTTAATCTCAGTCAAGCTTAATATGCTCCCCTAATTATAGTGATATATTTTCCGAATTACAAATCAAGACACATGGTCCTGAAATTCTAGATGTTTGATACAGTAACATTATTTGCCTAATGGTAAGAGAAATTATGCTCTGGAGCACATGAAAAATTAAGTAGTTCTCTTGGTAAGCCATTCCCAAAATATCCTACCTAGTTTCTTGCAATTTCTGTTCTTAACTAATTATAAAATTAAAAATAATTCATTTTTATTACAAATGGAATTAATGGTCATTATTTTTTAAAAACCCAAAACATACGAATGAGCAAAACAAACAAAAAAAGAAAACAGAACGAATAGTTTATATTTGATGTTTTGATGGAAAGGAAGGGGCATTTGAATTTAAAATGCTTGCCATATTTTCACAATTTAATTCCACTTTTGTTTGCAACTATTAATAGAAAACCTAAACTCTAAAAAAAAAAAAAATCCGAACTTAAAAGAGTCACTGAGTAAACTATGTTTTAGGAATCTACACAATAAACACGAAATCGGTCACCTGACCACTCCCCACCCTCGGCCCCTTCCACAAACCCATCTTTCCCTCATTGAGAAATGTCCTTTCTCAATGCGGTTCCTTCTAAAAGGGAGAGGCGGGAGAGTCAGGGTGGAGAAGAAGGCTACTTCCAGATCTCGAGTCCATAAAGCGAAAAACTTCTAGGCCCGACACGTGGAGCGGGTTTGTGCCCGAGGAGCACAGCTGGTCTACACAGGCCCGCCCCGCGGACCCCCCGCGCCCGGGTGAGCTGCGGTTTAACTTCTTTGCAGCAGGTTGAGGGCAGGCCCCGCAGTTGTGAGGGCAAGGCGGCGCCCCAACTGGTATTTTTCCAGGAAGTGCTCCAAGAACGCATCGGAAAGGGGAAAGGGGAAGGCCCGGCGTCGGGCGTCTCATTCATTGCTTCTCTCTCCCCCCCTCCCCTCTCTAGCTCCCCCCAGACTTTCTCTCCCCTTTTCCCAGTCGGAGTTTGACGTCGGTCTCCTGGATACCAGACGGCCAATCGCCTGGTTGCTAAGGGACCAGCGCGGCCAATCAGGCGTCGTTGCTACCTGTGAGTAATATTTTTAGCAGAGAGGGACGCTCCATTCCACTCCCAATGTAACTTCGTGTGTTTTCTCTGGGGCAGGCTGTGAGAAGAGGCGCTTACCCGGTCGCACCCCTTGGGTCCCTCTCTTTCCCCACTCCTGCACGTACTTCAATCGGAAATTATCGTCAATGCGCACTACAGGAAGGCATCGCGTCTACTCCGTGCACCGATGCTAAAGCAAGCCCTTGAACTGCACCGTGCATGTGTGTATACGTGTACGTACACGCATACGCTCAGAGACACACGCAGTCTGGCATCGCGTCGCCACGCCCTGGGCCGTGGAGGCCTGGGCTGGGACCTTTGCAATAAAATGTGTCCTTCTCAAGCCACCCCCAAGTGCGAGCTGCGGCCGGCTCGCACCGGGAGGTCTGAGGTGGCACTGTGGAGGCAGTTAAACTGTCACCTGGGCGGGAGGCGTGACGAGGTGGCCCTTCCCCACCCCCAGCCCGGCACCACAGCTTTGGGTTCTGCAGTTGCCACTCTCTGGGTGGCAGTTGGCCTAGGCCCGGAGGTGATTAATATGCAATTAATCGGCTGCACGAGTCCCGGTCACAGTTCGCCCTTTCTCTGAACTCCCCTGGGGTGGGCTGGGGTACGACTTGGTAGCTAGCCCGCGAGTGCGATTTTCCTCGGCCACAGCCCCGCTCGGGTAGGGCATTTTCTGAATCCTCTCCCCTCCCTCTCAGGGCCTGGGGCTCTCCGCGTTCTCCGCCGCCACAGCTCCACCGGCTCCACTCCCCTCCCCCCTCTCCCGGGCGCTCTCCGCCTGGACCTAGCGCAGCCGCCCTTCCCCACCCCTCGCCCTCACTGGCACGTCTCTCCCCCAATCCCTTTCCAAAGTTTCTCTTAATCCCGCCCACAGTCACTCCAGATCGTCGGTTCATTGGTCCTCCTGGAGCCCGAGGGGTGTGACTTTCCGCACTCCGGCCGTCCGCCGCCCGTCAGGACATGGGCAGGCGGGACTTGGCCAATGGCGTCGGGGGGCAGGGCAGGGGCGGAGCCAGCGGGAGAGGGTGTGGGGCGCCGGGCGCGGAGGGAGGGGAATGGTTACACCGCCCAGAGCTGTGTGACGCGGGGCGGGCGCGCGCGCCCCACGGAGGGGAATGGGGGCAGGGAGGAGAATATAAAACGAGAGGCGGGGCGCGCGCCGCGGCAGAAGGAGCGAAGCTCTGGCCCGGCGCGGAGAGGGCCACTACGGGGACGCTGGGCCGGGGCACTGGGCTGTGTGAAGTGAGCGCGCTCGCCAGACCCCCGTCCCCACCACCCGAGCCAGACGCAGCAAGCTCCTGAGGCCCGCCCGCGGCCGCAGTCCTCCGCCCGGCGGCGGCCACGTCTTGCACTCGGCCAGCTCGGCGCTCCGACCCTCCCGAGTCCCCGCCCTGCCGCCCCTCTCCCCCGCCCAGCCGCCGGCCTACGGTGGAAGCAGCCCCGAAGCAGCCCGTAAGTATCGCGGGGCGGCGGGCGGGCGGGGGCGGCGAGGAGACGGGAGCCCGGGCCGTGCAGCGGAGGAGGGGCTGCAGCGTCGTCCAGCCCCGGCCCTCGGGGCCGGTAGCGTCGCGGCCCGGGGCGCGGAGGGGCAGCCGCCGGGACCCGAGGGGAGCGGCTCCCGAGGCCCGGCGGGAGGCGGCTCCGAGGGGCGGCGGCGCGTCGGGCTTGGCCCGGGCGGGTGACCTGGGAGGGCGGCCCGGGGCGAGCTGTCGGGGGTTGGGGCGCTCGGGAGGAGCAGCGAGCTCGCGGGGGACGCTGCAGTCCGGCCGAAAATGGTGCCGGGGAACCGGTGCTCCCCTGGGCTCTGGCCGGGTCCCAGGAGCCTCGGGCGGGGGGCGGGGGACGGGGAGCGGCGGGTCAGGTTACGGCGGGGGAGGGGAGCGGCTGACCCGGCTGCGGCCGGCGCCCCGACCTGCTCGGGGCCGGGTGCTCGGCCTCGGGAGATTGCTTTTCCATTCCCGCGGCCTCCCTCCTCCCCCTGCTGCTCCTGCGAGGAGGCTCGTACTCTCTTCCTCCTCCACCTCCACCTCCTCTTGCTTTTGCTGCTGCTGTGGCGCTTGGGCTCCGAGGGCTGTGAGCAGAAATCTAATGAGACTCAACTGGCTGTTTATGTAATTTCTTCACACTCCCGTCTGTCTTAAGGCGTTGCTTTAAAACTACCTTCCACCGCGCCTGATTTGGCTCGGCTGCACCTTCAAGCAATTGGGCTTAATCGGCTGCCTGTGCCGTCGCCCAGGCTTTTGACTTAGAAAGTGTTTGTAGTTTAGGGGCAGCCAGGGATTCTTTTCCCTTTGTCACCACGGGTATGGAAAATGGAACAGACGAATTCGTACCAACTTGAGGTTTAAATGTCCTTTTAAATCAACCTCAGTGTACAAATAGATACCCTTCGCAAATATCTTGTGTTTGCCCTTGATCTTTTCTTATCCCCACCCAGTGCTGATCCAGCAAACGTTTAAAGGTCGACCTTATCATACATGCCTCTCCGGCTGCTCTCCGGTGAGAGGGAGGGAGGTGGTTTTTAAAATCAGAATAAAACTCAGATACCCTGGCCTTTAAACAGAATACTCAATGGAGCTTTAAAATTCATTGTTACTTTTGCTACACTTGGGCCGAAGAGGTTTTTTTCAGATTTAGAAAAATACACATTGAAAAAAAGCACAGAGAAGCTCCATATTGTGTGCCCTTAGTATATTTAAGGCTTGCAACTATAGGACAATTTGGTTCCCAATCATCATTGAGTAGGATGACAATTCGTTTAGTACTTAGTACTTTAATTTTAGCATCATGTACTTTGGAAATTAAAATAATTTTCCTAACTCTTCAAATTTCTAAATGTTAGCAATAGAGCAGATTTAGACAGTATATGTCCAAAATAAACTAAAATACAGTATCTACTTCTAAATTGATGAATAACAATAAAAATTAATAACCACCTTCTAAAAGTGGCATATGTATGTGGGGCATATGCTGAGTACAATTTCCAGTAAATATTCTTGTGAGAATTGGAGGAAGAAGAATGCACATTGTGGAGATATTTTTCTTAGAACTTCATTCAAAAATAGAGTTTTAAAAGATATTATTTTATCTATAAGCCTTCAGTTTCCCATGAGATTCTGAATTTTACTACACAGTTTTTTATTGTATGTTACTTTATTTTGTACTAATTATGTTTTTCAGGCTTTCTAGCCTATTAGAGATTTTCAAAAGTAAAATTACTCAAAGAGTAAACAAAAAGGTCACGGGACTTATATTACATTTATCTTATTTGGACATGTTTGCTTTTGTTTTGTTTTAAGGAACAAGATCACTCAAGGTGAAGGATAATCTACCAATACCAGCACTTTGAATGAAAATTTGTTTCCCTGCCACAAACTGAACGCTTTCTTTTTTTTTTTTTTCTTTTTTTTGGTGGGAGAGTTGAAACAAACCTAACTTTGTGGCATAGCAGCTATGCAGCTTGAAATCCAAGTAGCACTAAATTTTATTATTTCATATTTATACAATAAGCTTCCCAGGAGACGTGTCAACATTTTTGGTGAAGAGCTTGAAAGACTTCTTAAGAAGAAATATGAAGGGCACTGGTATCCTGAAAAGCCATACAAAGGATCAGGGTTTAGATGTATACATGTAGGGGAGAAAGTGGACCCAGTGATTGAACAAGCATCCAAAGAGAGTGGTTTGGACATTGATGATGTTCGTGGCAATCTGCCACAGGATCTTAGTGTTTGGATCGACCCATTTGAGGTTTCCTACCAAATTGGTGAAAAGGGACCAGTGAAGGTGCTTTATGTGGATGATAATAATGAAAATGGATGTGAGTTGGATAAGGAGATCAAAAACAGCTTTAACCCAGAGGCCCAGGTTTTTATGCCCATAAGTGACCCAGCATCATCAGTGTCCAGCTCTCCATCGCCTCCCTTTGGTCACTCTGCTGCTGTAAGCCCTACTTTCATGCCCCGGTCCACTCAGCCTTTAACCTTTACCACTGCCACTTTTGCTGCCACCAAGTTTGGCTCTACCAAAATGAAGAATAGTGGCCGCAGCAACAAGGTTGCACGTACTTCTCCTATCAACCTCGGCTTGAATGTGAATGACCTCTTGAAGCAGAAAGCCATCTCGTCCTCAATGCACTCTCTGTATGGGCTTGGCCTGGGTAGCCAGCAGCAGCCACAGCAACAGCAGCCATCCCAGCCACCGCCGCCGCCACCGCCACCGCAGCAGCAACAGCAGCAGAAAACCTCTGCTCTTTCTCCTAATGCCAAGGAATTCATTTTTCCTAATATGCAGGGTCAAGGTAGTAGTACCAATGGAATGTTCCCAGGTGACAGCCCCCTTAACCTCAGTCCTCTCCAGTACAGTAATGCCTTTGATGTGTTTGCGGCCTATGGAGGCCTCAACGAGAAGTCTTTTGTAGATGGCTTGAATTTTAGCTTAAATAACATGCAGTATTCTAACCAGCAATTCCAGCCTGTTATGGCTAACTAAAAAAAGAAAAAACGTACAAGTTAAAATGCACGGGCCCAAGGGGGATTTTTTCTTTCTTTGAACCTCCTTGAGATTTTTTTTTAAGCTTATAGTAAGGATACATTCAGGCTTGGTTACAAAAATAAAACATGCATCATTTTTCATTTGCCAACCAAGCACAAAGTTATTTTATACTGACTGTATATTTTAAAGTATACTCTCAGATATGGCCTCTTACAGTATTTAAGATATAGCAAGGACATGGCTGATTTTTTTTTTATAAAAAATTGGCACTAATAAGTGGGTTTATTGGTCTTTTCTAATTGTATAATTTAATTTAGTACAAAGTTTGTAAAATATCAGAGGATATATATATTGTTTCTACGACATGGTATTGCATTTATATCTTTTTACTACAGTGATCTGTGACAGCAGCAGCTTCATGTTGTATTTTTTTTACTGAAATTGTAAAATATCCATCTTAAAGACATCAACTATTCTAAAAATTGTGTACAGGATATTCCTTTAGTGGTGGAATTAAAATGTACGAATATTTGCTTTTTAAAAAAATGTATTTTCTGTTAAAGGTTTAAAGATTTTTGCTATATATTATGGAAGAAAATGTAATCGTAAATATTAATTTTGTACCTATATTGTGCAATACTTGAAAAAATGGTATAAAAGTATTTTGAGTCAGTGTCTTACATGTTAAGAGGGACTGAAATAGTTTATATTAAGTTTGTATTAAAATTCTTTAAAATTAAAAATGCCTATTGTCTTTATTTTTAAGCATTTTCTGAAAATCTACCTCTGGAGTTCTGTTGTACATGCTAAATAAGAATGGGAAAAGATCTGACTCATTAAATCATGAAGGAGTAATGGAAAGCAATTGCTCAATTGGTGCACAGACAGTGTTTTGCCACATAAGAAGTTGTCCTATCAAAACTGTAAACTGCATTCTGACCAATGCTCGGGGCAGCTTTTTTTTTTTTTTTAACAACCCTCTTCAGTCCATGTTTGTCTCATGGTGGAAATGGTATGTTAAAATTAGTCAACTCTATAGCAAATTTTAAAATATGGTGTCAGCATGCTGACATCTAAGAGAGTCAGGTGATACAAGATGGAATTCACTCGTGTAATCTGAGAGGATTTATTTGAAATTTATATGGAGAGAGAGAGACCATTGGGTCAGTTTTCTGTTTTTGCATGGGAGATGAAGAGCTCAGGAAACTCTCTTAGACAAAGCAGCTGACCTAACTTTAATGTGATCTGTTTAGTAATCTTTAGAGTTTAGTCCTTGTATGTATTTAACTAGAGAATTTATGATCAGAGTCTGTTCAGTTGGACAGGTTGCTAATGTTTGTGTTCAACAGAAACATTCACATAAGTATTTTTTTGCAAGTGGATGTCCAGCCTGGTTTGTGGGGTTTAAAGATTAGTTACTGATAGTGTGTCAGATTGTAGTGGCTTGGTGAGGATGCAGTTTTTCAAAAACATAAGGAGTTAGAAGGAATAATATTTTTAAAGTAAAATGAGTCATTTCACTGTGTAAGTGTCCATTGATATAGTGTTGATACAGTATTGGTGAGAAGGTTGTCTTGAACTAGAAGAAAAAAAATAACTTTGTACTTTTATAGTAAGAAACCAGCACACTGTTGAGTTACTAGTGAAATTTGGTCTCAAATGAGTGTTTTGGACACCAGTCCACAAAAGCCTTTTGTCGTTTACCCATGCAGTTTGGAGCAATAAAAAGTTTTAAAGAAACAAGCACTGCGAATAACAGAGCTAAACTGTTCTGTCAGCTCCATGGTGAGGCCTTTGTCCTTTAGTGGACAGAATGAGGCTATGAAGAAGTATTGGAAAAGTGAGTGGGACCCGCAGAGATCTGGTCTGCCAACACTTACCAATTATGTGCTTTTGTGATCACAAAGTTTGAATAGCTGTAAGAAAATAATCAGGGTAATGATCATAAGGGCTAGTTTCTGCAAGAGACTTGGTGAAGTTACAGGTTTGGAAGAAAACTGCCTATTTAAAAATGAGCTCAACATTTTCTAAAAATCAGAATAAGGTAGCTGGACAGTACATAAACAATAGAATTTGTAACAGTCTGGAACACATTCAGATTTTAAATATTGAGCTTAATGCAAACATGAATATCTGTTTCAGGTCTTGATATATATATGTACTGACAAAAATCTAAGGGAAATTTCATCTTGGCACCTATGTTTGACACTTAAGAAGGATTAACTCGAAATTTTATCTTGATAGTCCTCATGAAAACTCTTAGTTTGATTTGATCTTGGTGTCCTTGAGAACTTCATTTTTTTTTTCTTTGAGACAGGGTCTCACTCTTGCCCAGGCTGGAGTGCAGTGACCTGATCATAGCTCACTATAACCTCAAACTCCTGGGCTCAAGCAACCCCCCTCTACATCAGCCTCCTGAGTAGCTGGGACTATGGGCACATGCCACCACACCCAGCTAATTTAGTTATTTTGTAAAGTCTCACTATGTTGCCCAGGCTGGTCTTGAACCCCTGGCCTCCCAAAGTGCCGCCTTGGCCTCCGAAAGTGCTGGAATTATAGGCGTTAGCCACTGTGCCTGGCCTATAATTTTTTTCTTAAATGAACAAAAGTCTTGTTTTCATGCCCTTTTTGCTCATTAGGAATGGAAAGTTTTTAAAAGCTGCTTTTGTCTAGCACATTTTAGAAAAATTTACATCTTAGTCCCAAATCTTTTCCTCCCCACTGTGCCATTGTGCTTTTGGCCCTCTGTGTGGAGACTGTTTTGGTTGAGGGTTTGATGAATTCATTATCTTCATAGGTCTTTCCCATCTTTTTGACTCCTATAAGTATAGATTCTGTAGCAGCCTCTGAATACTCTATCTGGTACCCAAAATGCTGCCTTAGATATCAACATGGCTCATGAATGAGTGAGGAAAATGATACCCAAAGGTAGTTTTCTGAATTTAGTGTATTTCTTTACTGTTCTGCCTTATCTTTCCTAAAATCAGGTACATTGTGAAATTTCCTTTAAATAGCTTTCACCTATAATAGATGGCAAATGTAGGCCTTCTTCAAAATGCCTCTTTGAAGCTGACAATCTTTATTTGCTGTGATTTGTTAACGTAGCTTTTGAAGGTGAAACTAAAGGTGCTGCTAAGTTTAAATGTTTTTCTAACGTGTGTTGGTGTAAATTTCATGCACATATAGATGTCTTAGTACTGGCATATTAATTGAGAGATGTAATCTAACAAACCTTCAGGACTTAAGTTATTTTAAAACAAGCCACTGTAGTATATAAAGAAAATAATGTAGGTCTCTTTGGACATATTTAAACTAATGAAAATGCTGATTGGAGACCTTCCTCAACATCCTTTTCCTACACAAACAGAAAATAGTACAGACATGGTATGTCAAATGTATATCCTTGCTTGACTGGAACGCATGCTTTTGTCAGAAGCTTAGGTAACAGCTGTAGTACAAGAACAGATAAGAGGAAAACAGCCTTATTAGAAGACAAGTATGTACAATGGTCGTTGCTGAATAAAACACATAATGTTGTTTAGTATGCCAATTAGTTGATGCTTAATCAGTTTGGTCCAGGAGGTCACCTGAGATAGAGGTCTTTAGTTTTTGTGGTATATGAGGAAGATATTTTTAAAAGATACAGGGTCAATATCTATGTGCATACGACTGTAAAATTAGTATAGTTGTTTTTTGAACCTGCCTTTTGATCTTTTAAATCTTTCAGTTAACAAATACTCATATAGCACTTACTATGTGCCAAGTGCAGTTCTAACCCAGTGTAAAGATTGGGGGGACGGGGCAGAGGGGAACAGGACTGAGGCACAGAAAGCTTAACTCACCCAAGATGGCATGGCTGGTAAGTGGCAGACTTGGTATTCAAACTCAGGTAGTGGTTCCAGAGTTCATGCTCTTAAACACTATGCTTTGTTCCCTCAGCTTAGTTGCTATTCTGATTTGAAATCAGGAATAAAACCATTTTTGTATTAGCCACATGACTTACAGAATCTCTACAAAAGTGTTAATGAGAAGGGTCTATCTAGCCTGAAACATGCACAGACGTCATAATGATGTTCTGAGAGATTTTATATTTCCATTGGCCGTAAACTGCAATCATAGGCTATCTGGAAATGTTTTTAGAAATTAAGTTATATCAATACTCGTGCTGGTTTTCTTAATTCAATCATGTAAATTGATTCTCTCGTTTTAGAACCACTGGATGATTCACTGATAGACTAGATTTAGTGGCCCCACTATGTCTAAGTAAAATTATAACCATTGGCCCCCTGTGGCTGTTTTCACACACATTTCTTATCTGTGTGGATTGATAATCTAAAGAAAGGCTGGATGACTTAACAAAGTAGTCTTCATTCAGTGATGTGTACCTATAATTGATTGATTTTTTTTTTTTGAGACAGTCTCAATCTGCTGCCCAAGCTAGAGTGCTATGGCGTCGGCCTAGCTCACAGCAACCTCAAACTCCTGGGCTCAAGCAACCCTACTGCCTCAGCCTTCCGAGTAGCTGGGACTACAGGCATGCGCCACCATGCCCGGCTAATTTTTTCTATATTTTTAATTGGTCAATTAATTTCTTTCTATTTTTTAGTAGAGACAGGGTCTCACTCTTGCTCAGGCTGGTCTCGAACTCCTGAGCTCAAACGATCCGCCTGCCTCGGCCTCCCAGAGTGTTAGGATTACAGGCATGAGCGACCGCGCCTGGCCTATAATTTATTTTTAAATTACTTTGAAAAGCTACCTAAGGCAAACCTTTGTAATATAGGATTTCTGTATGTATAGATGTTGTGATAAATGGTCTTTTTACTTTTATTTTAAAACATTAAGGAAACTAAGGCCAGCTGAGTTGCTTGATGCCTATAATCCTAGCACATTAGGAGACCAAGGCAGGAGGATTACTTGAGGCCAGGAGTTCAAGACCAGATTGAGCAACAGCGAGACTCTGGTCTCTACAAAAAATAGAAAAATTAGCTGGGCTTGGTGGTATGTGTCTGCAGTCCCAGCTACTCAGGAGGCTGAGGCAGGAGGATCACTTAAGCCCAGGAGTTGGAGGTTGCAGTGAGCTATGATAAGAGTAGGGCACTCCAGCCTGGGTGACAGAGTGAGACTGTCTAAAAAAAAAAGGAAAGAAAAAGGAAAGAAAAAAACCAAATGACTTCTTATTTCAAACTTATTCTGAAAGACGTTCTTGAAAAAAATCAAAATATATTTTGGTTTAAAATAAAAAGTAGTTACATTTAAGAAGCATAAGCTCTTATGGGTAAGCTTATATGCCCTTTATTATTGTTTAATGGTTTTGAACATGTTTAAACTGCACAGTAAACAGAAGAGCCCATTTAAAAAATGGCTCAGGAGAATTTCTGTAGTTTCTGTATGGATTAAATCCTGTTAAACTACATTGCCTACTATTCAGATTTTTGAGTTAGTTAGAATTTGGACCAAATACTGCTAAACTCTTAGATGAACTTTAGGACGTTTACATTGGGCTAAAAGTCTTATTAATGGAATTTGACTGGTAAATAGTAAACCTCTATTACCTATTGCTCAACATGTGAGTTTTAAGATTTTATATTTTTAAAAACTTGCTTTGTATATATAGTAATTAGTGAGAACTTTGAGATCATCTCATAATTTGACAAACCTTAGAAGAAAACATTTAAGCAGGAAGCAGTTCATGTCTGGAGGCTATTTGAAATTATGGGTGTAATTCCTTGCTTAATCATATTAA